TATATTATGATGAGTGAGGGCATAAGGAGAAAATATAGAAAGGGTCTAAGGGGTAACGAAGTAAAAAGAGAAAATAAGAGGGATATGATTCATTTTCTATGGTGGTAGAATTTGGGAGAGCGTGAAGAGAGGCTAGGGCTTACAGAGAACCAAGTGGAGAACTCTGTAGAACACGAAGGAAGAGAATCAAATTGCTAGGACTACGAGGTAAGGGGTGTAATAAGGTTTATTATGATTAACAGGGGGTTAAGGTAGATTTAGGTATTTGTATGTATGATGATTTTGATGAAAAACATGATGAATCCTATAATGAATTTGTGTGATGATGACATTAATATGTTAGGATTCAAATGAGATATGTGTATGATGATGTATTATTGTTGAATTGTGATAATATGATGATTACTATGTATTTTAGATTGAGTTTGGTACTGAGATCAGATTTGGAATGGGGATGGACAGTAGCAAAATCGCAACTGAGAAGTTGTTGAATTGCACGCGTCGCTGGGCGAGCCAAGTGGCCAGCAACATGGTGGAAGAGTGAAGGCTCGTGGATAATGTATGGGGATGGGCCTATTGAAAGAGCTTCGCCGGGCGAGCGAAGAAGAGATGGTCTTATTTGCGCCTTTCTCTGGGCGAGCATCAGGCAAGGAGGAGACGAGTAGAGAGCCCCAGGGTTGCTAGGAGAGGCTTAGGCGAGTAGTCTTCCAGTAAAACTTCAAAGTGTCGTAACTTGAGTTTCCAGACTCTGTTTGACGCGTCGTTCAAAGCATTGGAAAGTTAACACGCAAAACTATATTATGACAGAATAACATGAGTTGTTTGGTGCAGGATTCAAGTACCTATGTGTTTATGAGATTGAATATTATATGTTTGATATGCTAATGTGTTCTATTTTAATGATGAATTTGAGGATGTTGTGAAGTTTCTATGATGTTGTTGCTGTGATGTAATTGATGTTGGGAAAGCTTTGTTTTACGAATGTTATGTTTCTTTAATGTTGACATACTTTATGAGATTTTTGGATGAGCTAATTTTATTTCCAACTTTTGATGAGACTAAGACACTATGAGTTTTATTTTGTGAAGAAGTTTATTTATGATGATGAATCCTCTGTGATGTTTTTTAATGATGTGTTGAATTACAATTAGATGCATGTTTTGAATTGTTGTAACTCGTGTTATGGAGCAGGATTGTTATTATAATTTTTTTTATGAAGTGTGACACCCTTGAATGAAGATTTTACTTGAATTATTTTGTAAATTGTATGAGAGATACATGGGAGGTTAGAAGGGTGTTACACAACGCACCTATATGCCCAACTTCAATGTGATAGGATGTTAAACAACCACATGTACTTCACAATGATATATACATGAAACTTATCCTCTAATATAACATGTCCTACAATATGTAGGATGTATACCCTAGTGGCTTCGTTATACATACCTTGTTGCACTAGCTCTCCATACCTACCCTATAACCAAGATAGACGAAATTGAGCACCCCTCATAAACCTAAACTCCTTTATCACCCACACCTATGTAACCCCTAAGTATTGTACTGTTGTCATATGTGATGTCTCCTGACTAATGATATGAGCGGTGAAGAAACTACCTACCAGCAGAATATGGAACAGACAAGAGACATCATCTAATGTAATCATCATCTCACCAAATGGAAGATGGAATAAATATGTCTCCTTGTGCCATAGCTCAACAAATCCTGTTAATAGTTGGCCCTTGAGGATGCCAAGCGAATAGTCCACCAGTGGAAAGAGACCACACTCCTCAACTATCTCCTTCACATTCGATGGTAGACCGACATCAGAGAACTTCTTCAGCTTCAACCTGTGGGTTAACACCTTAAGCGGAATATGATTCAGTAACAAACAAAATAAAAAATATCAGTTAATTTCAAACTATCATTAATAGTTAAAGTCACATCATTGGTATATCATGTACATACCTCTCCCTACTGTAATCTGAAAGCCACAAGATCCGCATATCATTTGAGAATAGAATTTTTACTAGGCCCACCAAGAAACTCATCATATGTGTGTACAGTTGGGTCTGTCGAAGCAGGAGTAGTGACATTTGTTTCAACAGGTTGAGTAAATTCCACATCATCAGTAGGTTGTCCTTAACAACCGTGTGTGGAGTATACGCCTCAATAACTATCTTCGGAGTAAGCTCCATAGTGGTTGTTGCCTCTGCCTCAGAAGGATGAGGAATCTATCGGATAGGGTACATCTGCCTCTACCACCATCTTCTCTTCATCTTGAACCGGTGTATATGGTGCTTGAAAATCAGCTAGCTCATCCACATCATCTCTCGTTCATCCAGAAGCGGATCTAGATCCTCTACGTCGAGTAGTGCGAGGTGCAGGAAATTGAGCATGTTCGGCCAGCCACCTCCTATGGGAACTAGTCAGTGCCACTCTCCCTTTCCTGAGAGCGAGTCCTCCACATCACCTCCTCTCTCTCGAGCCATCAAAGCAGATATAGCGTGTAGTCGACCAACAATCCTACCATCAGTGCCTCTAGCCTTCATTGAAAAAATAAAACATATTTTTTAGCCAACTAGATTTTTCAAAAAATCCGAAACATTGAATTTTCCTAATTTTTCAAAATATGCGAAAATGAGGGATAAATTATTTCAGATTTTTTGAAAAATCCAAAAAACTTTATGCATTTTTACTGTATTTTTCAAAAAATCTGAAATAATGTGTGCATTTTTATCAGAATTTTTTTTAAAAATCTAGATAAAATATATACATTTTTACCGAATTTTTCAAAAAATACGAAATTTTTTTTACATTTTTATCACTTATTTTGAAAAATATGGTTAAAAAACATTAAAAAAAATTTGAAAAAAACTTTAAAAAGCGGTTAAAATTCAAATATACTTGTCATCAAAGACAAAATGTGTGGTAATGTACGTATAATATCCAGAAAATTACAGAGAATTTCAAAAAATTTGAACTTCACCAATAGTTTTTGTGAAAGGAAATATAATATTGATCAAGATTATTATGGTAAAAATATAGGAGGTGTGGAGGTGCCACATATATAATTTAGGAAATGGTCGAAAGATTTCTCTAACAGTGTTTATGCTACAACACTAGCTCCAAATTCTATGCATCCACTTCGTTTTCAAAATTTAATTTATATCTGTTTTATAAAAATAGATGTAAAATTTAAAATCATCTTTAAAATTTATGATTTTATACTGTTTTTTTAAATTGACATAAATTCATATTTTTTTAGATTTATTTTTTAAATTAAAACAGAACTCTCCCATTTATTAGATCAGCTCATAATATAGCCATCTTTGAATTTTGAGGGTCTTCACTTCAAATATGTGTTCAATACTAAATTAATTTTTCATTCCAACAATTCTTCTCGAGAGCCTTTTGAAAAACTGTCTATTTCATGTTTAAAAAAATCCAAATTTTACATATAACATTTCTTGATTATAATAGATCACAATTAAGGATAAATAGATATCTATAAGGATGAATAATATGATATCTATGTTCGCTCCATTAAATAAATATAATATATATGTTTGTCTCATATTACAGGTAATTCACAAAATTTAAAATATACGCGGATATTTACAGATATCCATAAATAATATTATATTTCAAAAATTATATTTAAAAAAAATATTTACAATTTCTTTTAAAGACACAAGACATTATTATCACATTAACAATATAGAAATTTTCTTTAAAGAAAACTCCAAAAAACATGAGGAGGTTAATTTTTTGTTTTTGTGTTTTACAAAATGAAAAGATAGAATATAATAAACAATAATATTTAAGTAATTTTTATAATTTATTATTAGATACACGGAAATTCGCAGGTATGGGTAACATTAAATTTGTATTTATATTCAATAATAAACGAATATTTAAATATTTATTTATTTTATCCGTAAATATCTATTAAATTATCAGTTCCGTATCCGCGATGAATTTTATCCGTGGATATTTACAGATACAATAATATTGCCATCTTTAATCACAATCCCGTTTATTTGTTTTTTTAAATGGGTTTTATAATATTAAATATCTTTATTTAAAAAAAATAGATCTAAAAAAACATTAAATGAAAACTTTATTTAAATAATTTTCTTAAAATATTATTTTAAATATTTTATTTTTTTACTATAAGTTTTTTGGATATCCAAATTTTGAAAAATTATTTAAATTTTAAAATAATTTTAAATATTTTTCCATAATGTTTTTTAAAAGACACCGTTTTAAAAAAAAAATTAATTTTGTCAAAATTAATTTTTTATTTACAATGAATAAGTTTAAAAATATTATTATATTTTATAAATATTTATAAAAATCATTTTCAAAAAATATAATGAAAATATATATTTTTTATGCTTAAACAAACAGAACCAATATGTTATTGTAATTTTAAATCTAAGATTCTAACTAGATATGATTGTTTTTAGAGCGAGTTTTGTTTTACTCTATAAAATTCATTTAAATTAAAAATTATATGAAAATATAATAGTTTATATTTAAGTAATTTTATAAAAATAGCTAGTTAAATATAAAATTTTAGTATAAAATCAATTTCTAGAATAAAATATCTAAAACTCTTATTTAAAATTAAAACCAATTTAAATAAATATCTCTAAAATTGAAACCAAACATAAATTGACTAATACAATATTCTCTAGCGACCATTAAAATGTCTTTCGAGATCTCTAAAAGTAAAAACAAGCAAGCAAAATATATGATATTAATGAATGAAAAATAAAATTATTTTCTGCAATAAATAAACTAAATCCTCTATCTTTTGGTTGGAGATTTAACATTTAGATATCTCACTATTACTGTTACAAATGGTATGCCATTGAACTAGGAATAAAAGTACTTAAAAAATAATACTGAGTTCTTCATAACATGATGAATATTACTTATAGCTTCAAGTAGAGAATAAACAACACTTGTTCATTTCTACTAGAACTTTGACACTATCTAAGAATATAAAGTATCTGAGTTGTAGGTAAATTTGTATATAAACCAAGAGGTATTATCATTATGGGACTAATAAATTGATCCCAACATTGTGCAAATGATGTAGATCTAGACATTGGTATTGATCTGTTCATAGTACCAAAGTGCTGAATGTTACCTAAAAGGAATAGTTTCCAACTTAGTAGCACAAGGTGACTTTGCACAAAGAAAGTGATACTTGAGAGAAACCAAATAAGGAACAAAAGATAGTAATATATGCAACCAATTGAGGTTGCCATTGGAGCTGAAGGTTTACAAATATATGAGTATTTGGAATCTTGATTTTATAGTGTCTTGTTAAGTACTATTTGATAAATATGACCAATGGAAAATGCAAGGTTTTGCTATATGTCCTCATTTTTTTAAGTTGGATGCGTGGAACGCGAGGTTGTCTTTATTATGTTAAATTATCTCTAATTGGGACCACCATATGCCCAACTTTACCTATTTCGCTCAATTATAGATCTTATTATGGTTTTTTTATCGTTTTTAATTTTAGCAAAGGCAAGTAAAAATATTGTTTTAAACGTTAATAACATTACTAGTATAATCTTGATTAAAAAAGATATTTTTGAATTAAATCTGAATATAAATTTGAATTTAAACGAGCAAAAGTAAATCATTTTAAAAAGGCATGCAAACGAAACGGATAATTGAGAAAACCGACATAAGATATCTTAATAATATTTAAGACATTTTACTAAATATATTGTCTTAAAAAGTATTTCAATCCAGCTATAAAATTCTCATATTTGCTATTTATTTAGACAAAACAAATATTTATGAAACGCACCAGCAACATAAATAACAGTTAAATGTGTTAGACGACGACAACTTATTTAGAAGGGGATAAATAGATTTTCAAAGAATTTTTTTATTTAAAAATTTGTTTTTAAAAAATTAAGTAAAAATTATGGCAAGCGGAAGTCGTATCCTAGATCACAAGTCGTCTATACCGAATTGATTATTGGAGGCTCCAATATGCGTAATATCAAACTCAATTAAATGATGATGATAAGATCTTAATACAATAAATTTTTAAATAATTGTTTTATAATTACAAGACCAAATAATATCCAATGAAACAATTGATAAAATTAAGTGAAACAATTTATCGAATACTTGGTGTGCACTTAATTTTTTAGATTTTCCTTTAAATTTTGTTAGTTTGAAATACCTCTTACAGTCTAATAGATTGCAAGATAACCAACAAAGCAATTTAAAAATCAAAGAATTTGTCTATACGAATCAATTGCACAATCAAAGAATTGGACAAATTGCTCATAAAATGTAAATGAGAGATAGAGAATGGGAGAGGGGAGAGAGAGAGACAATGATTTGTTTAGGAAATGCACCAATCGTCCTTGCTTTGGCTACGTCTTCCTCCAATTCCGCTTGGAATTGAGATAAGAAGTCTTGTTATGCAAAAAATTATTTACAAGAGAAATGTAGCAATTCAATCCTACAAATCCTATGTTTGATGTTGATCCTAGCAATTTCTCTTCCCTTGATCTGATTTTGATCAAGTCACCTAACAATACCAATTTGATTCATCATCTTGTGCTACTCCTTTGCAAAAAATCACCGTTCTTCAAAGCTCTTCACTCGACCGAATTAAAATTATGAATTGTTGTCACCCAATATTTCCAAACGATTCACCGTCGCGCTACTCATTTGCAAGAACCCCCCCCCCCCCCCCCCCCCCCCCCCGTTCTTCAAAGCCTTTCACTCGGTCGAATTCAATATTTGTTAAACCTTATAAAAAAAACCCCAAATCCACACTTTGATCTTGAGGTAAAAACTCTCACTATTTTTCCGATGAAACCCTTTATGATTCTCAATCCAACCGTAGGTTACAACCAACCTAAATAGAATGTTAACAACTAAGTCTAGATGGAACCCAAACAATGAATGATTATGTGTAGTTTTTTTTGTATGCATAGATGCAAGGTTGAAGATGGTGAGTAATCTTAGTATGTGTTTATAGTTTCATCAAATTGAAAAAGATGCATGTATGAAGTATATATATAGGTGTGCAAGTTTGAGGCAAAAGAGAAACCTAAAAGTTTGAAAAGGAAAATAATTTTTGAGAAATTGTGACACATGTGTCGACACATGTAATTTATGTGTCAGCATATGTAATGACATGCGTCGACCTATTTAAGGTCATTATGTCGACACAAAGTTACAATATCTACATGATTTAAAACAATAGTGCATGTGTCGACACAAAACATGTATGTGTCGACACATCTAAGGTTTTATAATGAAATGTGTCAACCTGAAATAAAGAACGTGTCGACACATATTACAGAGTCTACAAGATTTATTATTGATCCACATGAGTCAACACATAAAACAGATGTGTCAACACATACAACTGATTTTTATACAAAAATTTATTTTTAGTGCATGATACATATTGGCAACCTTTTCAAACATGTTCTGTATGCATTCTAAGATCCCTAATGCAAGGGTGCACACAATGGCTCAGAGATGGAATTCAATATACAGAAAAGCTAAATTTATCCTAGTTTTGATATCATACAAAACATCTATCTAAAAGACAAATACATTCACATGCTCCTCCTTTTTTATGATGGAAAAACTTCAAAACTTGCGATGATGCTTTTCGTGTCTTCATGAAGGCTCCCCCTGAATATGTGCATATGATCAGTCACTATTTGTGTTATAGTTCTATTGCTTGTTCGTTAAAAATTCAGAAAAATTGTAACACTTTGTTCTTAGTTAATAGTTGTTTGAGTCAATTTTTACACAATTACTGTTTTGAGAGTTTTAAATTATTTTGGATATTTTTACACTTTTTGGTAGTGTATTGGTTGAATACAGATTCACGAATTAAAAGGACCACGGAACGGGCCATAGTGGCTAAGCAGATGAAGGAAACATAGTAAAATCATCAAGGCTGCCCATACGCGTTCCATACACGTATGGCCTGGTGCGTGGCTAGCCCTTACGCGTTCCTTACGTAAATCAGAGAAACACAGTTAAAAATCTATTTTGCCCATACACGTATGATACATGTATGGGTCCTTGCAGGAAAGTTAAACGCATTTTGTGTGTGTATAAGATTTGTGTTATTCATAGCCATATGATTATGATACGCGTATGGAGGCCCAAATTTGGCTGAAAAGCCCAGTGCACGTTATAAAAGTGAGGGGTGCGATTTCTCAAGGGTTGGACGATTTTTGACGGCAGAGGCTGTTAAAGGCTGAAGAACTTAGATTTATGCTTGGACTTAAGATTTTCATGATTGAAGACCTTTTTTCCTTCCATTATTTGTAATGTCTACACTGAATGCTATGTTTTTCTTAAGTTCTATGAGTAGCTAAACCCCCTTATGCTAGGAGGTGTCCCTGATTCAGATATGTAATAAATTTGAAGCTATTATTGTAATGACAATGTTATTTTTATCCAGTAAATCTATTCTCATGATATTTTTTAATGCTTTCTCTTTTGTACAAATTGGGAATGATGATAATTAGTAATTAGGCTAGACCGCCACTGATAATGTGTTTATGAGAATATTCTATAGTAGATATCACCTAGGACTTGGGATACCCTATAGGAACATGAGTATTCTTGATTAGGTAATGCTTAATTTTGTTAGTAAGTTTCTATAGACATAGGACTTAGGATGAATGATTAAAGATTTGCTCAATAAGGACTTATGATTAAACACCCAAAAAACCGATAATTTAATGTTGAAAGTATGTTGCTGCAATGATAGTTCAAAGTTGTTACAGGAAAGAGTCACACACTGTCTGTAGCATGTTACTCATACCTTTCAAAACTTTTCACCATATTTATTTACTTTATTCGCAATTAGTTTTCCTAATTCTACAAAATCAATCCAAACACTAGTTTTTGCTTAATTGAACAACAATTCCACTCAATATTTCTACGCAGTCCTTGAGATTGACATTCGAGGAATTTCTACATTATTACTATGTTGATGAATTAGTACACTTGCTAATTTACCAATCAAGTTTTTGGCGTTGTTGTCGGGGATTGCCAAAATATAGAGTTTGACTTGAGTTCAATTAGAATTTTGTTGCTCTGCAACTAAAATTTTATTTTTTGTTATTTTATATATTTTTTTTATTAATGATTTGTGTCTAGCCTTTGCATGCGAGGAAATCCCTCAGTTGAATTTCCTTTTGACGCAGAAATCAAAAAGAAAATTCATGCAAGGTGCATACAAGCTCGATTAGCTAAACTGGAATCAAAAGAAGAAGTCATCTCAGATCATTCATGTTCAGAGTCCGAAAAGGAAGAAGAAACTATGCGCGAAAACCCCCACCACCAGAGATACTTCTTGGGGACTATGGAGTAGCAAATTCTCTAGCAGGTCGGTTGACTATTGTGAATCAACCGGTAACTATTTCAAATTTTCAGCTACACCCTTCAACAATCTGACAACTTGAGAACACATCTTTCACTGGGAAGATAAATGAAGATGCGAATAAGCATTTGCAAATGTTTCTAACTATGATAATTACTTTGAAGATTGAGGGACACTCTGAAGAAGAAAAGAAATTAAGAATGTTTCCACTCACGCTTTCTGAAGATGCTGAAGAGTGGTTTTAATCATTGCTTGCTGGGAGTATTACCACTTGTGAAGAGACAGAGAAAACTTTTCTTGACAAATACTTTCCTACTTCTATTTACATTCGAAAAAGATATGATATTGTGAATTTTAAGCAGAAGGAAGAAGAGTCACTAGGTGATGCGTATAAGAGGTTCAAGAGGTTATTCGTAGCTTATCCGACTCACAATATAGACTAAACTAAGCAAATGTAGATGTTTGTAAATGTCCTCAGAATGAAGACAAAGCATCTTATTGACACAGCTACCAGTGGCTCATCCAACTTTACAACAAGAACTAATACTAAGAAGATCATTGAAGCCATTGCTGCAGATGAACATTTGGAATTGTATGACAGGGTTACAAGCAAGCCAGAGGGAGTGATTGATTTGAATTTGGAAGCCAACAAACAACTCATAATTGAAGAAACAGTTGTTGAAAAAGTGGAGAAAAGGTTGAAGGCAATGAAAATAGGTGCTCAACAGGTAGCTCAGGTTCAATAGGCACAAAATGTTGTTTGTGAAATTTGTAGTGGACCACACACTACTGTGCAATGTCTTGCAATTGCATAATAAATTGAGGAGATAAAATTATTGAAGCAGAATAATTCATATTCTAACACCTATAATC